CTCCAAATGATTTTGAGTTTTGTTCCACATTGTTCTCCCTCTCATTCAAGGATCTCCTACATCCTCTGGTTTTCTTGCAGTTTGCTGAGTGTCCCTAAGTAAGTCTTCTTACTTCTCTGAGCCTTACTTTCCTCACTAATAGCTAACCTTTTGCCTGGAGTGAGACTGTCAGACTGTATTTCTAGTCCTAGGCCTGATATCTCTGTGATGGGGTATCCCCTTAAGTACAGGGGCACACTTAACTGTGAGTACATCAGGAGGTCCTTCCTAGATGGAGAATGAGGAGCTCTCCATTTAGGCAAAAGCTCAAAACCCATTTCTGGTGCTAGTGATTACAGCATTAGTGAAAGGAAGACATGGAACACCAGTGATTTCCAAATTTCTTCTTCCTGAGAAGCCCTTTGTTCAAAGACTATTTTATGTGGAAGAGCACTGTAGAAAGCAGATTTGTATAGAGCTGCTGTGGGTTGGGAGCCCGAAATCAGTCCTCCCTTAGCTCCCCAACTGCTGATGTGCACACACCTCAGGATACTACCTTGGCTCTGGGGAATTTCTTCCTGTAGACATTTACCTTTTTTCAGACTTCCTGAAGAAGCAATGCAAAATAACTTACTTTTTAATTAACCAGCTTTCCAGATTTTTATCTCCATATACTTAATTTCTTTTTCTTTTATTTTTTTAACTTGGTCATTACTTTATATATTTGAGGTTTGTGTTGAGAAAATGTTGTATTCCTGTAGAATGTATTATTGTTGCTGTTAACATATTGGCCAGATACTGTGGTTTATTACTAAAATATTACACCATGTCCTGTTCTAGTACTTCACATTGCCCTAACTTATTGCCAAAACCAAAAAAAAAACTAACTACTCTCAAGTCGATCCCGACTCATAGCGACCCCTTTTTGGATTTCTGAGGTGGTATCTCTCTGGAAGTAGATTGCCCAATCTTACTTCCAAGGAGTGACTTGTGGATTAGCACACCAGCCTTCTGATTAGCAGTCTGATGCCTTAGGCACTATGCCACCAAAGCTCCCACTTACTGCACTGTTCATATTAAATTTCTTTTCAGATGTGCTCAGCCATTATAAATGCTGTGTGTGTGTGTGTGTGTGTGTGTATTTCTATTTGTGCTTGTATGTAATAGCTTAAAAAAAAAATTTGCCCTTGAGGCAATTTCAACTCATTGTGGCCCTATAGGACAGAGTAAGACTATCTCATAGGGTTTTCTAGGCTGTAATCTCTGGTAGCATAGTGGCTAAGGCACTTGACTGCTAACCAGAAGGCTGGCAGTTCAAACCCACCAACCACCTCTCGGAAGGAAGATGGGGCAATCTACTTCCGTAGTGATACTGCCTCGGGAACCCAAAGAGGGGTCGCTATGAGTCAGGTCCAACTTGATGGCAAATAACAACAACAACAATCTTTACTGAAGCAGACTGCCACATCTTTCTCTTTCAGAGCATCTGGTAGATTTGAACTACCAAACTTTGGGTTAAGAGCAGAGTGCTTAACCCCTGTGCTACCAAGACTCCTTGTAATGGTATATAAACCAAACCAAAAACCAGACTCAGTGCCGTCAAGTTAATTTTGACTCTTGGCAATCCCCATTGGGTTTTCAAGGCTATAAATCTTTATGGAAGCAGACTGCCTATCTTTCTTCTGCAGAGCAGCTGGTGGGTTTGTACCACTAACCTTTTTGTTTAGCAGTCAAATGCCTTAACCACCACATCACCAGAACTCCTTGTAATGGTATATACATACATTTAAAATAATTTCTGGGAATGTGCTTGCATTATTTACATATTACTGAATTAGAGAGTAAAAGATGGTTTTTCAACAGAACAGAATTCTCTAAAATATAGAACTCACAGCACTGGAATACATTAAGTGATTTTAGTTGGTATGTGGAATACCAACTAAATAGAATAGTTGGTAGGAGCTCTGGTAGCAAAGTGCCTAAGGTACTTGGCTGCTAACCAGAAGGCTGGAGGTTCAAACCCACCAGCCACTCCTCGGAAGGAAGGTTGGGCAATCTACTTCCGTAGTGATACTGCCTGGGCAACCCAAGGAGGGGTCGCTATGAGTCAGGGCCCACTCGATGGCACATAACAACAACAAAGAATAGTTGGTATTCTATTTTAATAGATAAATGTGTTAGTCAAATTCAACTCTCATCTACAATTAATGATTTCACCATGAGGATTTAAGACACGGATTAAAAAAATACTTATTTTTAACTAAATTGATTTAAATAAAAAATGCAACCAAATAATAGTATAGATGATATTTAGACCTGGTCAGAATTGTGAAGGTGGTACTGTAAAGGCAAGTTCGAGAAACAAAATACAGAAAACCATATGAGGTTGTTCATTAAATTATTACCATCTCCTCCATCTGTAAGTTACTAATTTCAAGTATAGACAATGTTTCCTAGGAGAAATAGTGACACTTAGGATAGTATTTTGACTACTGCTAAATTCTCTTGGTAAGCCAGTGGGTTTAAGAAATCCAAGGTAAAAATAATTATTTTTAAAAGAAACTATTTCCTATTTAGTTGTATGTGTTTTTTGAAGGACTAGCAGTGAGTTTGGGTGGTTTTTTTTTTTTTTTTTTGATCTATTAGTGCATAGAGATATTTTATATTATTGAACTTTACACTTTAGAAAAATCCTTACTGCTTCTCTTTAAAATAAAAAAAATAATTTTTGTTTTCCATCCTTCCCCATGATGGTCTTAAAGGTCTTTAAGACAGCATGTTTCTGGGGCTCTAAATATACACAGCAAAGTGCTATGTTCTCTAGGATCACCTTGGTGGGGTCTCTACACCCCTTACTTCTGGGTATGACACCCTGTTGTCTGTATAACTTGCTAGTAGTCGCTGCCTCTTTAAAGGGCCAAGCTGACTTGTGTGAACACATAAAGTTTGCTTTGGTG